TTGCGTTGTCGGCTGTTGTCGCCGCTGGTCGCCGCTGGTCGGCTGCGGCGCTGTCTTAGTGCGTAAATTGCAGTAGATCTCGCTCCGTCAGACGGTCTGGTGGTTGCGTTGTCGCCGGTTGACGCCTTTTGGCGGCTGCGGCGCTGCGGCGCTGTCTTATTGTAAATTGCAGTAGATCTCGCTCTCTTAGAGGGTACGTCTGGTGGTTGTGTTGTCGCCGGTTGTCGCCGCGTGGCGGCTACTGGTCAGAAATAGAGATTTCTAGAGAAAAGTAGTCAGATTTGTCTTCAGAAGTAGAGATTTCTAGAGAAAAGTGGTCAGAAGTAGAAACGTCAGATTTGTCTTCAGAAATAGATATCTAGAGAAAAGTGGTCAGAAGTAGAGATTTCTAGAGAAAAGTGTTCAGATGTAGTGGTTTCTAGAGGAAAATGTCAGAAGTAGAGATTTGTATTCAGGAATAGAGATTTCTAGAGAAAAGTGGTCAGAAATTGAGATTTCTAGAGAAAAGTAGTGAGAAGTAGAGATTTCTAGAGAAAAGTGTTCAGACGTAGAGATTTCTAGAGACAAGCTGTCAGAAGTGACTTCACATTGAAGCTTTCTTTTGCTTCGAAGTGAAAGGAAGATTAGGTGATGACGCAACTGCATTTCAGCGTCTCAGTGTCTTGGCATTGATGGTAATTGAAAATGAAGATTAGCTGCTGATAGGCTGATTCGACTGTATTTCAGAATCATCTCAGTATTTTCACACTGAAGCGTCTCATTGTCGGGAGGAAGGGGTAGGTAGCTAGTGTCTGTATCCGCATCATTGGTTGTTTGATGATCAGGAAGATTAGCTGATGTTGAAGATTCGGAAGCGTCTCAGTGCGATGCGACGATATTGTGCTCAGTTTGTGTGGCTGCTTTTGATTATGGGAAAACTTGAATGCTGACATGGCTAGATTTCAGAAGTGTCTCAGAAGCTTCGCAGTTTAGAATCACTTGTCAAACCAGAACTGAATCGCCCGGACTGCTCAAGCTTTTCTGCGGCTCAAGCTTTTGCTTCTTGTGAATTGCGCCGGACATCAAGAAGCTAAACGGTAGCATCAGTCTCTGTACTCATGTTTGTTAGTATGTGGCATAGAACTTCCGCTTGCGGTTATGGTGATGAAGAGATAGTGGATACTGTCGCAACTTCAGTGGTATGCTTGTAGAGAGGATGGCAGAGGATACATTCAAGAAAAGACTGCAAATTCCAAACCTTTCAGCGATTGAAAGATGTTGAAAGATTTGTTTCGAGTCTGTACTGTGATTTGTTAGTGTTTGTCATGTTGTTATGTTAGTTAGTATGTGGCGTAGCACTTCAGCTTGAGGTTATGGTGATGAAGAGCTACTGGAGACGGTCGGAACTTCAGTGGTATGCTTGGAGAGGAGTGCAGAGAGGTTTACTGTCCTCGCAGAAGCTACTGATGGATGCTATTTGTATCATTTATTTCTTTTGTTTCGGATCCTGCAGAAATGTTTCAAGTCTAGTGCATCTGTTGCGCGGCAAAAGTATCGGGAGCATTAGCAGTCATATTTCGCAGACAAGGACTGATATAAAAGTCGAAGTGGAAGGGTGTGCGAGAACTGTTTGAAGGTGACTTTACTTGCTTCTAGCTGGGAGCTCAAGATCTGAAATTAGACAGAGAATATATGGCAAATCTTGGACTTTTCATTGAAACATGTCTGACGCGCAGGTTTTCTAGTCGGGCTCAGGCTCCGCCAGGCCCAGGATTGGTGAATGTAAATCACGTCATAACCTACACATGAAAGCTGTTGTTGGGTGCTCTGCAGCATTCGTGTCTTTTGTTTCGGAACCTGCAGATGTGTGTGTGGCGCAAAAGTTGCAGAGATCAGCATGGTTTCGGCTATGATGTACAACATGCTGGACTTTCGAGCTATGTTGGGTCGTCGTGTGGCTTGGCCTGTCGATCCCCACACATACTCGAAGGTGGGCTGTGCTTTTGGTCGCGTTCCTACTGGGTTGCATCTCGGTGACTTCTTTCAGCTTCGGCCTACCGCACAGTTGTCTTTGCTGGATGTCTGGTGGGTGCAAGTTCTCGGGCAGCAGTACAGGCCTCGTAGGCAACAGTGCCCTCCGTTTCTGCCTCCTTATGAAGTGGCGGTCCGTTCCCGCACGCCATTCAAAGCTCTTCCCGAAACCACCCCAGCTGGATTCAGATGAGGCGCAGATGGATACCGATGTCGTCTCAGTCCACCCCCCCCAGAAACTGGCTCTCAAACATGCTATCGACAGCTTATGCAAGCAGCTGGCCAGGCCTCCTCAGAGTCAGGGCCAAGCACAGACAAAGGGCCCGAGCCTGCTGAAGCACAGAGTCGCACTCCCCCCAGGAGTGCTGAACCTACAACAGACACCACCTTGCCTGTTTGCCCCATGATACATAGTTGCAAGAGGAGTCGGGCTGCCTGCCGTCCACAGTGATTGCAATGACTTGCCCCTTGACCTCATCAATGATGCCCTGCAGTACTTCTTTGAAGAAGAAAGCCGAAACTTTTGTCAGGCAAACAGTGACCTTCTGCGTCGGCTAGCTGGCCAGGCAATGCCTCGCAAAGAATGCAGATGGCGACCTCAAGTACGAGGCAGTGGCGCCTGAAGTGCAGCGCGCGCAAGAAGTCTTTGCAAACATCCCCGATGTTTTCGAGCTGCGAGGGCCCATGAGGTTCAAGTCTGGCGATCCTTTGATCGACCTACTGCAGTGCATGCGACAGGGGAAGAAGTTGCCAACGCCTCTTTCGCGGAAATTCCAAGGCCGTTTTGCAAAAGACGCCGAGCCTGGTGTCCCAGACCCTCGCTTTTTCGAAGACAAGGTTCGCTACGGATATTGCGTGTCCATCTATTGGGGTTCTTTGGCACGCATGTTGTCTCATTGCGCTGTTCTCGATGCTAAAGAGTTACAGGTTCCGTTGGTCGCGCTGCAAGCTGCCGATGAACGTTGTGACCTCAAGCAAGACGCAGCTTTTCGCTTTCTGAACATGACTAATCCCAACAAGACAGGACACATGCACGGCGTGTTTCGTTGTCATATCGGCATGGACATACGCTTTCTAGCAAAGCTCGATGGTGATGCAGGTATGGTCCAAGATACCCAGGCTAAGATCATCGATTTTGAGGTTCACAGTCTTGACAGAGAAGCATACCGCCAAACCGTCCCTGGTGAAATTTTTTATACTCTTTCTACCTTCCGGTTTGTGGGTCTCTGTAAAAGGGTATTCAGGCTGTCCGGATTGGGAAGAACTTCAAGAGATGTGTCGTAAGCGTGTTCAGACGGATGAAGAGGCTTGCAAGCTGGCGAAAAGTTTTTGGTTCTTGCCCGCAGTTGAAGTGAAAGTACGCAGAAGCACGAAGTTCGCCGTTGTGGTTTTCAAGTGACACATGCCCAGTGTTTGACTAGCACTGCTTCTCAAGGCTTGACCCTACGCACAGGCACGATCGTTGATTGTGCGCGCTTGCCCGAGTTAGACGACGACAATTGGTGGCTCCATTTATATGTCATGTTCTTGAGAGTCACACCTCTCGGTGATCTACTTCTTTTGCGCCCACCTCCTCGCGAGATTTTGGAGCGGGGCCCTCCTGAGTCCATTGTCACTCGTGTAGCAGAATTCCAAAAGAGAGCAGAACGATGCCGAGATGGCGCTCTACGTCTACGTGAGCAATGGGATGTTTGTGTTGGACGCAGATGAGCATCTTCTTGCAGATATGATCCCATTTGCCAAGCACTGCAGGGCAGATGCCACTTCGCACCAAAGATCTGTGACGCAGATGTGTATAGCGTCTTCTTGCAGATACGATCCCATTTGGAAAGCACTGCAGGGCAGATGCCACTTCGCACCTGTGACGCAGATGAGCATAACATCTTCTTGCAGATACGATCCCATTTGGAAAGCGCTGCCGGGCAGATGCCACTTCGCACCTGTGACGCAGATGAGCATAGCATCTTCTTGCAGATACGATCCCGTTTGGAAAGCACTGCCGGGCAGATGCCGCTTCGCACCTGCATCTTGTTGCAGATAATAGCCCTTTCGTCTGCGCTATGAAACAAAGGAGTTTCGGTGTGCTTTCAACGTCAAAACCACCATAAACGAAACGTGGCTCATTTCCTATACAGTTGGCTGTGTCTATGTCCACTCCTCAATGACAAAACCTAGAAACGAAACGTTCCTGCTTTCCTACAGTTCACTGTTTCTATGTGGAGTCCTGCTTTGCTTTTGTCGAAAGATCGTTCGGCCACGTGCAGGTGCTTCATCTTCTTGCAGACATGATGTCAGTACGAATCTGCGAGGCAGATGCCAAGGCACCATGACACACTGAAAGGCCGAAGCTTTCCAGACTTTGTTCTTACAATTCTGTGTGTTCAGTCCTGTTTTCGCTGTTTTGGCAACATTCTTCGACAATGTGCAGGTGCAGTATCTTCTTGCAGACACGATCCAATTTGGAAAGCGCTGCGAAGCAGATACCAAGGCGCAAACGGTGCGCTTTCAATGTCAAAACGACCATAAACGATACGTGGACCATTTCCTATACAGTTGGCTGTGTCTCTATATGTTCAGTCCTGTTGTGCTGTTATGCAAATATCGATCGACTGCTGCAGGTTCTTGGAAACATCGTTCGACCATATGCAGGTACGGCGTCGTCCCAATTGGAAAGCTCTGCGACATAGATTCCAAGGCGCAAATGATGTGGTGACAGCGACAAACAAAATCTTTGGACGGTGATGACGTCTTTTGCATGTAATACTCATGACGACGCCCAGGTTCACGAACACGACCTGCTTTCGTCTGCGCGATGAAAAAGAGCTTGGCTATAGGGTTTACATCGGCAGAGCGATGGGGTTTTACTTCGGCTAGTTGTGGCTGTACACACATGTCTGCACAATACCTCGTACATCCGCCGTGCACATTACTCTCCCACACCTCTCTCCCACCCCTCTGTTGTGTATTTCTGATATAACTCCTGACAAGGCCATGTTGTAGAAACTATTGAGACTCTGACTGCTTTGTGCTTTAGAAACTTAAGACTCGTAAAGACTCATATGTGGGGTTATCCGGTCCTTTATTCTTTTTCTTTGTTTCTAGTAGCGATGGCCTCCAACCCAATAGCGATGGCCTCCAACCTACTCGGCCTCCAACCTATACAGTTCAGGAAAGTTCCGTCTTCATTTGCTTTGCTATCTCTAACCATCCGGAAAAGGTGTCATCTGGGCTTGGGAGCTAACATGGCCGAGCACTGCAAAGCTGAGCTGCTGCTAAAGACTTGTGAGGACTGGACTGCTGGAGCCAGGAATTTAACTCGGTCCAATTCCACACACTGTGAATATATGCGAAACCATTCTGTGGTTAAAGGGCTCTCATGCACCACATAGATGCCAAATAACCGTTTTGCCCATCGTCATGCTCCCATTTCTCTGTGGTGTGTCTGCATCTTGAAGATGCAACTTCTTCGACTCCCCAGCAAAGTCGGAAAGGCATTAATCCCTGTACCTATAGCAGGAACATCCCAGCACATTCGGACATCCCTGCAAACCACTCATCAGCTTTGGCATTTCATACCAAGCGCTTGGAGGGTGTGGGGTCCATTCTGGTTTTGGAACACAGAGCCACCATGAGCAACCGAATTCAGGAGACTGAGCAAGTCCAAGGAAAGTCCTCCGGCTTAGTGACCGTTTGACACAGCCGTCTCGTCAATTGACACAGCTCAGAAAACACCTTCCCGTTTGGTCAGTGCTCCGTGCCCTTTTATTTGGAAGACATTGAGGTATCGCTTTGGCGATTTGACGAAGCAGATCTTTAGAAATGAGCACCAGAGGACTCTTTTGCACCATGTCTCATCTACTTCAGGTCTCAAAATAGATGGAAATGGCTCCCACTGCAGATTCAGGATATTGACATCCATATATTTCCCATCCATGTTGAGGCTCATCCATGATGGTAATAATCTTTTTGCAGCTGCCTTGGCGTACAGGATCAAAGACTTGGTGGTCAAGGAAGTCGTGTGACTTGGAGAAGGAAAACCGGACATCGTCGGTTTGATCCGCCACGACGGATCCACCACGATGGCAGGACCAAGTTCCATCAGTTTTTGTCCAAGGAAAGAGCAGAAAGGCTTTGGCAAGTTTGAGAAGCTCAAGGCCTATGCAGAAGCCATTCAGGAGAAATGGGACCTTCCGAAGATCAAGCAGTATGTGCTTCTCGGTCCATCAATGTTTTTTTCTCAGCGCTCCGAATGCTGCTGATTGCAGTTCAAATCCTATTTTGTTTGGGTAACAACACTGCGATCTGAGATTTCAGTTCGATGCATACTGATACTGCTTCGTCCAGTTGCATGGACACTTCCTAACTACACTTCGATTGGCTTGGTATTTTTAATTATCCAATCAACTGGCAGCTTTCCTCTAAGGCTTTACGGAATCCTGCTGTCCGACCTGGCCATTTTTCTTCTAATCTATTGTGCCTTTGGCTTTCGCATCGGTCCCAACACCTGCCATCCTGGTCCCCCCAATCTCCAGCGGGCAGTCATTCTCCAGGTGATTGAATTCGTGTTTCTAATAGCGAACATTGTTCCTAGTAGTATGGCCAGGAGCCCCGTCCCGTAGCGTCCATGTTCCTCCAGGTCTTGTGCTCTTGATCGCCTTGCCTCTGCATGGCTATGCCCGAGCGGCGCGTCTCGCTTGGTTCCAGGCCACGCGGCCGACCGAGCGGGTCTGGAGGGTCTGAAAAATGCCGCAGCGAATTCAACCGAAGAGTTCTGAAACGCGTTTGGGAAAGCGAGGCAGTGTCCAACTTCACATCCCTGAGCATCTTCGAGGGCCTGTTGCTGGTTGGAATTCATTTGCTGCTCCACCAGGCTGGGCCTGCAACAGTTTTCGATCTGGAATTCAGATCAGATGTAACACAATTCGAAGAGGGAAGTCATTTTTGACCAGGCCATGCAATCATGATTGCTTTTCCACCCAGGTACTGCTCTACTCGGAGCTGCTGCATAGCTTTGTCCGTGGCTTGCTGAGGTACTGACACGATGACACCGTCACCATTCTTCACAGACTGGTCTTAGTCGGTCTGGAACGAGTCTAGGTGAACGAGCTATCTAAGGTGAAATTCTGCAGATCGACTTGCGAGAATTGCAGATTGATGTGATATGCTCTCAGCCAACGAGAGAGAGAGAGGATACGAGTGACAAATGTTTGGGGAAAACGATGTGAGTGCTTCATTTGTGACTACTGACTCCATAAAGACAACGACTCCTTGCGGGCCATACGGAAGATACTGTAAGCATTTGACTCAGGGGAAGAGCTTCTTTGGCGCTTTCTGAAGCTACTTTCTATGCCTTGCAAATTTCTGGTGGCATGGCAGTCCTGGCCATTTCAATGTGGTTTAGGCGCGGCCTGCATTCTTTTCAATATATAGTTTTGCAATGTTTTACCCAAGGGACCTCTCCAGTCCCTTCGCGCTGTCAGGGCTGTGGCCATCGTTTGAGCCAATGTGAGAGACCTTTGCTGGACGATTTACGACGTTTTTAGCGCCGCACAAAAAACACCTTTAAGCTGGACCAATGGCTTCGGTGCATTGAAACCCGGTGCGACCGAGACGCTGAAATTCTGTGTCAGGGCAGGGCTGCCGGGGCAGGGCTTTGGTCTTGACCCAGCTTTGCATCGACTCGAGACGCTTCTTTATCTCCACTGAGATGCAAAAATGGTTCACATCGCTGAGGCTCACAAATTCACAACACCTAAGGCACTTGTTACTAGTAGCTTCTTGTTACTACTAGTAAGGCACCTGTTACTACTAGCGTGGCACTTGTTACTAGTGACATTTTTCCGAGGATGTCCTTTCTTAGAGAGTCAGAGCCATTTCTCCAGCAGGAAGTTTCTGCCTGAGTTGAGTGGGAAGCGGGAGTGTCGATGATCGAGCTGCTGTTGATGTACATAAACAGCGCCTGGCAGAGCCAGGGTGGCGTTGAGGATGCAGAATGGGTTGAACAAAGCCTTTAAGCTTTTTGTGTGCAAACCATTGGCCGTAGTAACTGTGTCCAACTGACCACTCAGTTACTAGCCTAACCAACTGGTCAGGTGCACACGGCCGAAGACTTGGGGCAAATCGCTGCCTTCTCAGAACGAACGCATTCGCCGCTCGTTGGGCTTCGCCGCGAACGAACGAAGGAAACCGGTCCCGGAACGAACGCGAGGTTCGAAGCTACTTGGAACGCGATCTTCCAAATCCTCCGGTGGATGCCATCGTAGGCCTGTGGAGCTTCTCCAACTCGGCCGGAACAAAAATGCCTTGCAACGGCCGGAGTAGAGTGAATGTGTTGCACATGTTTGGATCGCCTTTGAATGGTCTTTGCACTTTGCACTGCACGGGGTTTCTCCCCGTACTTGTTCTATGCACCTTGCTGGGGATTCTGCAGTGCGCGCCTCCCATGTTTAACGCCGCAACAGTGTCCGCACACACCCACACACACCCACCCAGCCACCCACCAAGCCACCCTGCAACACAAGGAATGGCTTTTGATCGTGATGCAACTTTCCTTTGCTTTTGCCCAGCACTACACTTGTCTCTCGCTTCATTGTTGCACTACCTTTTTGACGCGTGTAGTATTTGTGCATGCTTTTGACCACTCCTTTAGAGGGACTCCTTTTTTCAAGCTTTATTTCTTTGGCTTATTGTATTAGTGTGCCCATTCTTTCTCAATCTACTCAACCTGCTGTGTTGATCGCTACCTTTGCTTCTTGACAAAATCAGCAAATGACTGAGTATTTGAGTTTGCTGAACAACTTCGCCCATTGTAAAACCTTTAGACTCTCTAGATGATGAGCAGCAGGCTTCTTCAAAAAGGCCAGCACACTTTGTCGCCCGGTCCTTGGTTTATCCTGATTTACAAGCAGAATGATATTGTGTGGCACTGCATGGTGAGCTGTCCCTCTAAGAAGATGACATCAAAGCATTGGACAGCTGTAGATTTGGTAACCGCCATGCGGAAGGTGCATCAGGCCTTGGCATGTTCGCGCCGGGAAAGCCGAGGTCAGAATGTTCTTCTCGATGGCGCTGGGAGAGCCAGCAGCCCAAGCGGAGGTAACAACAGGTCTCCCCAGCAGCTGCATGTCATTTTTGGAATATGAAGAAACATCATGGAGGCTGCTGGTTTTGATCAGAGCACAGTTGTACCAAGGTCTCCTACTTCTCCCTGCGAAACCTCACGCGAGCCTTACGTTTTGCCTTGCGACTGGCGCGACGTACGTCTGGACCTGACCAGCCCAGCCTGAAAGCATGCGATGCCACGCAACCCCTCGACTCCCTTCAACGACTCCAAGGCACCATGCGACTCCAGCCAAGCAGGCCAGAGCACCTGAGCATTGTAGGCAGTGTAGGCAGTTCAGTTTTTCTTTGTTTAAAGCAAGTGCTGCAGTTAAGGCCTTGGCGCAAGGCCTTGCTGTTGGCTTTGCCCGGAGCCCTGCAGCGTTGCAAGAATGACCAGAGGGAGAGGGCGTCATTCAAAACGCAACTCAGGCAACTACACTGGACTTGTCTTCTTCAAAAATGGTTGAAGACATGATCAAAGAGGCCTGTACAGCATCTGATGTGCTTCTGTCCAATAAGTCCTTGACTTGTGTCTCAGGCACTTGGAGTCTCATCTTCATTGCAGCTCGAGCGTGGGACCAAGGCGCCGTTTTAGAGAAAAAGGGGACAGCTTGAAGACATGGTGCCCCTGAGGTCCGTTGGTCAAAATTGGATAGAACAGAATAGACCATTTCACCTGCAAGTCCCTGAGTCTTTTTGGAGTGTTTTGGATGTGACTCGCTTTGTGCCTTCTTTGGCTCTGATGAAGGCTACATCATCAACAGCTTCTGTGAAGATGGACGCGGACCAGAGCTGGATCAATGTGGAAGGCTACTGGATCAAAGCGGGTCCTCAAGAGATCCACATAGATGCTGCGCACAGGGACTTTGTGATTACAGATTCGGTCCGAAGGAACTTGCACAACATCGCTCGAATGCTGAGTGGAGGGCGATTCCCAATTCTTCTGGAGGGGCCCACTTCTGCTGGCAAGACTTCTTTGGTGAAATTCTTGGCACACTTGACTGGCCATGAGTTTGTCCGAATTAATAACCACGAGCACACGGATTTGCAAGAGTACGTCGGTCAATATGTCAGCGATCCGGCCACTGGACAGCTGGTTTTCCAGGAGGGTGTTTTGGTACGAGCGGCAAGGGCAGGCCATTGGGTGGTTCTGGACGAGCTGAATCTGGCTCCAAGTGAAGTTCTTGAAGCCCTCAACCGTTTGTTGGACGACAATCGAGAATTGTACATCCCAGACACTGGGGCTGTTGTCAAGCCTCATGAGGAGTTTATGGTCTTCGCAACTCAGAATCCAGCCGGAGCCAACTATGGGGGTCGAAAACTACTGTCAAGAGCCTTCAGGAATCGCTTCACTGAAGTCTTTGTGAGTGAACTACCCATGGAAGAGCTGGCAGTTGTACTGCACAAACGCTGCCAGGTTCCTCCATCTTATGTAAAGGTTATGTTGGCTGTTTATCAAGACCTGCAGTCCCATCGCAATCAATCTGCAGTGTTTCTGGGCAAGCAAAGCTTTATGACAGTTCGCGACCTGTTGAGATGGGGCAATCGCAAGCCCAATTCCTATCAGGAGCTTGCAGTTGAGGGATGGGCACTGCTCGCCGAAAGGCTTCGCAAGGAAGAGGAACGGGAAGTCATCCGCAAGTCCTTGCAGAAACATTGTAGTGGTGTGAAGGTTTTGCAAGTGGATTACCAAAAAGATGCAGTTGTCGTTGAGGCGAAGGGCCGTGTTAAGGCAAAATTGGAAGCTGGGGATCAGCCTCCTGTTGGGGTAGGGGAAGTCGTTTGGACACCTGCCTTTTGTCGGATGGTGGCTCTCATTGGCCGCTGTGTGCGTTCTGGTGAGCCAGCTCTCCTGGTGGGGGAAACCGGTGGTGGTAAAACCATGGCCTGCCAGTTAATCTCCTGGGCCTTGGTGGAAGAAAATCGACACGAACGCAGGCTGCGGACTCTGAATTGCCACCAGCAGACCGAAACGTCGGACTTTATAGGGTCCTTGCGTCCGGTGCGTGGTCGGGATGGCATTTTCAATGCGATTTGCGAAACGTGTAACAAGCTTGACATGGAGCTTGGTGGTGTGGAAAATGCGGATGCAGAACTCGCCCAGAGTTTAAAAAGGCTTCAAAGAGAAGTGAAAGCCTTTTGCCGAGCGAACGCTGAAAGACCTCAGTCAGGAGGAAATCTGAAAGACCTCAACCAGGCTCTTCGCTCTGTGAAGAATGTTCTGGAATTAGAAGCCGCGCCAGCCAACAAGCGCCGCCGGTTGGAAGCAAGACAGGGTGATATGAGTGATTTGCTTCTGCCATTGACTGCACAATTGGCTAGCCTATGTGCAGACTACGACCGCATTTTCGAGTGGGCTGACGGGGCTTTGGTTGAAGCCATGCGTTCTGGAGGTGGCTTTCTGGTGGATGAGATCTCCTTGGCCGAAGACTCCGTCCTGGAAAGATTGAACTCAGTCCTGGAGCCGGAGCATTCTTTGCTACTTGCAGAGAAGCCTTTGACTGGTGTGGATTTGGAGGTGGTATGCGCGTCACCCAGCTTCCGGCTCTTTGCCACCATGAACCCGGGTGGTGACTTTGGAAAGCGGGAGTTGTCACCTGCCTTGCGTAATCGCTTCACCGAAATATGGGTGGAACCAATTGATTTCTCGACCAAGGAGGCGGAAGAGCTGGTGCAGAGCCAATTGTCGTGGCCGCAGCTTGCAAGACCCATGCTCAGCTGTGTGACTTGGTTTAATGAGCGAGTCCTACATCCTTTGAGCATTCGAGAGGTTCTTGCTTGGTCTGCTTTCGTGCAGAGTGTTGCACATTCTTCTCTGGGCTTCGAAAGAGGAGTAGAAATGTTTATTCATGGCGGGTGCATGACCATGGTAGACAGCTTGGGCCTTGGAAATCAGCTTGTGGACACAGAGTGTATCTCCTTTGAGAAAGAGGAAGAGAAAAACTCTGGTGGCCTGACAGCTGCACAGAGGGCAATCCTAGCGCACCTGGTAGAGCAGCTTGACAAGAAGGAGGGCGGCCATTCCATGTTCGAAGGTCTCAATGATCAAAGCAGAAAGGCCATCCGAGAGGCTTTTGGTCAAGGTGGATTTGCTTGGGCCTGGACCTCGAGATCTCTTTCTTGCTTGAAATGTCAGCTTTATGTTGAGCTTTGCAGGTCTCATAGTGCAAGAGAGCTTTGTTTTGTTCGACCTCAACAGGTTGACAAAAGGAGTCTCTAGGATCTCTAGGAGTCTGAACATGATTTCGGGCTTTTTGCACGAAAGACGCAGCTTGAGGTCCGTCATCGCAGATGCGAGGTGACCTGAAAGCTGCTGTCAAACAACTTTGCTAGCAGAGAAATCTGAAAGGTGTTCAGGATTTTAAGGGTATTCTAAGGGCATGCGGGAGTGTGGCTGCAACATTGCAGGAGAAATTTCTGGACTTTGGGGGTTTCAAGATTTCGGTTCTGGCCTTATTGGCAGAGCTTCGGTTCTGCACTTGAAGTTGAAGTTGTTCCAAGGTAAAGGACTCAGAGGACATTGACATGGTCGCAGGCATGCGGGCAATCCATGCTATTATATATTATATATATTTATAGGGAACACACTGTGATCTCATGCAGAATTTCTGGTGCAAGGCGAATCCGCAGAGTTTGATTTTGGAGCTCCAGCTGCGGCATGCAATGTCGGACTGGCACTGAGAACGCTGAGGCAACCATAGGTAAGGAGTTAGGACAATTCTTTTTGGCAGAGAAGCTGAGAAGCACAATTTTTCCAAGTTCGAGCGAGGTAGGCTTGGTGAGCTAGTTTGCAAGTGTCTTTTGGGTCAAGGTTGACACAGATGGATGTCATGCAAAGTTATCACAATCACAAGTAACCTTATGGCATTCTTGGGCTTGCGTGGCATCAACTAATTGGAAAACAAATACCAATTGGAACCCAATGAGAAACAAAACGACCCAGCCTTCTTGAAGCAATCCAGCGAGTTGCACTTCAGATTGAGCCATGCGACTGCGCTCTGCTGGTCTTTGGCAGTTCCTGCTGGCCTTCTTTGCTTGGTCCGGGATCGCCTTCTTTGGGCGGCAAAACAAAGCAGGGGTCACCGATACCATTGATACCTTGTTAGCGGACCTTGAGACCGTGCCTCAAGGAGCTGATGCGAGTTTGATGGTGTCTGCCTTCTTGAAAGGTTTACAAGAAAGCAAATTGCTTGCTGACAGCAGCTATGACTCAAAACGCCGCGTGGCCAAGTTCAAGATTGCGGGCGGTGGAGCGTATGGTGACTTTCTGCCTGAATATCGGATTTGGCTACGGCTCTTCCTTGGACCCAAGCTTCAAATATCTTGGGAGAAGATCAAAACAGGCGTCAGACTCCGCTTCTCTGGCATGCACTTTGCGCCGCTGGCGGGAGCAGATGAGCTGTATGTGACAGCAGGTCTGGACTCTTATACCTGTGCCTCGTTCAAATCGGTGTCACAAGAGGAGTTCTATCAGTGCCACCTGAAGAAGGCTCAGTTCAACTTGCACTTTTAGTGTAACTTTGATCTGGGAGAGATTCTTGAGCCCTTCAGGTTTGTGTTTTTTTAAATAAAGCGGACTCGCAGGCACTAATGCTAGAGGACTTCTGGAAGAACAATCGTGCCGCTGGGCCACAAGATTGGACACACCGAAGCGGCACTGTTTGACAGTAAGGGCCTGGTTTCTTTGCTTCGCTGAACTGCTCGCTGACCCAGTCTTCAATCCCGAAGAACTTGCAGCAGCAGTTTTCCTTCATCGGAGACAACACAATCATTTCACACCTGGCTGAACAGCTTGGGCATGGGTCTCACGCTCAGCTCTTGTGAGGCTTTCTGAATAGTTTGAATATGCTCCTTGGCTGATTCACGCCTGCCTTGATGGCTGCATGCAGGTTTGGTTGGAGCATGTTGCTCGTGCTCTCTGCTCCACCTTCAAATGTGGACATCATTGATTTCACCGACCATGGTGTCAAGGGAGCCTTGGTATCAGTGCGAGCATTCACATTAGTGCACGTCAGCAAGCTGCCCTGCTTGCCCTGCTTGAGAGTTGGCCAGATCCAAACTGAGGAAGGTCTAGCCACGACAAGTCACAGGAAACTTGGCCCAAACAAGAAGCCTCCCTCTCTCTCTATCTACATCTATATCACTATAACTCAGCGTTTGCCGAACTCTGCTGTTGACATTCCAAGGCCGGGGCCAAACTTTCCCAAAAGCACGGTTTCAAAGACCTCAGTCTGGCGCCAAGTTGTTGCCTTTTTTCATTTTCCGTCACCATGCACAACACCGGCACGAGTGCCCCTTCGCCGCTTCGTCGCTTCGCCGTTCTGGAGGTCTCAACATCGCCCGACCGTTGGTGGGCGACACACATTTTGGAGGCATTGTCAGATCCGTGGGGGAAAAGATGGTGCCAGTGGCGTGCAACTTTGGCCACTTGGTGGGGCACACTGATCGTGTTTTGTTTGGCGATGACCAACACATGAATTGAACACAATTCAATAGATAGGACACGTGAAGGAACTGTAGAAATGCTTGAGAACGCATTTCTATATATCTACTTGGTAATCACGATGCATCAGTGCGGGAGTTTCTTCAAGGGACTGCAAGCAGTTCTGGTGTTGGATTCTGAGGTATCCTTTGCTCAGTGGGTGAACCTCGGTGGCGAGCAAAAAACATCCGAGGAGCAACCTGCGACAAGACGAAGCGCATTCAGGGAATCCCATGCAATCTGGTGATGGCGCAAGGAACGTGTTCGGTTTGGAGGTCTATGTTTCCATATGGAAACTATATCGGATACTATATCCATATGAGTCCGCCGTACCCATATGATGTTGAAGACGCAGACACACGACACACTTATGATTTTTGTGTACTGAACTGAAAGCGGTGCCACACGCCGGCCTAAGTAAAAAAACCTAAGGAGCCAGGGCAAGTAAAGTTAAATTAGAGGCCATCGCTAGAAGTTGGAGGCCATCGCCCAAGTTTGGAGGCTATCGCTAGTAGGTTAGAGGCACAAACTGAAAGCGACACAAAGCAACAGGTTAGAGGTCACCTCTAATGGGTTGGAGGCTATAGTACCAAGTTGGAGGCCAGCACAACAAGTTTACAGCAAGCACCTGTGCCGACCCCAACTCTGCAGACTGAATAGGAATGCGTCCAGTCGAACAGAGCGGACCCGCCGGCCGTAAGGGCAACCGGCATAGAAACTACTAGAAGGACACCAAAAATAGGAAGAGGCCATAGCAACAAGGTTCGAGGCCTGCGCTACAGGTTAGGAGGCCCACAAGACACAAAGCTGCAACACAAAAAGAAACCAAGCAAACAAAAACAAAACCAAGAATCCGGATTGTGACTCCAAGGGTTGCCCTGCAACAGCGTGGTACACTTCAAGATTTGTGCGTGTCATTCCTTCAACAAAAATCCAAAAGGATCCCTTTGACTCCAAGGGGTACACACACACACGCCTCCCCGAGGGGAGGCGAAGAACGAAGGTGAAGGCGAATGTGCACGTGCGCGCGCCGCACGGACAAAAGGATGAAGACATAAAAAGAGGACAGACAGGACAAAAAGTGTACGTGGTTGCAATGAAGAGGAACCAAGTGCACAGGGACAAACAATGAAACCCACCTCATTATCAAACCTGGGCGACCTGAAACCTAGGTTAAAAGTACGTGAAGATGTGCGCGTACACACCAAGGTCAGGACCGATGTGTGCGCAAAAGAAAGAAGGAGTGAAATGCCAAGACATGAAGACAGGAGGACATGAAAGAAAAGAGGAAAACAAATGTATGTAAAGGGGGAAAGATGAAAAGGGAACCAAATGGAGGGGACAAGAACCGATGAAGCCAGACCTCATTGAAAACCTGTTGCAACGCCTCTTTTGTGTGTGTGTGTGTGAAAGCAACGCGCGCGAGCGAGGGAGGGGTAGGGAGAGAGGAGAGGAAAGAAAGAAAAAAAGGAAAGGAAAGGAAAAGAAGGTGTTCCCAGCTACGACACAAGCGTCCAAGGACACACCAGGAGAAGAAGAGAAGGGTTCCCAGCTATGACGAAAGCATCCAGGGACACCCAAATAAGATGGAACGGGAAAAAGGGAAGCTACGAGCAAGCGTCCAGGGACCCACCAGGGAGAGGGGTGTACCTGAGTGTTACATTCAGGAATACCCCCAAAAAGGCAAGGAGAGAAGAAGGGAAGGGTAGGGGGAGGAAGGGGATTAAGGTCGCGACAGGTTCCAATGAACCTTAAAAAAGCTTTGGTCGCTCTGACCACGTTGAGGCGTTAAGCCAGCTTCCACCGCTGCGGTCACAGAAAGGCATGAGCCAGCTTGGACTTCATAAATGCGACAAAGTCTGAGTTCTCTTGGCCTAGGCCACCTACGCTTGCTGTGAGCAGCTTTGTATCCGGGCAGGGGATACGTTCGACAAACCCCCGTTCGACGGGTCCACAGGCCCACAGGGGCCACTCTTTGGGTCACCCTGGGCTCTCACTAGGAGAGACACACTTATGATGTTTGCGTACTGAACTGAAAGCGGTGCCACACGCCGGCCTAAGTAAAAAAACCTAAGGAGCCAGGGCAAGTAAAGTTAAATTAGAGGCCATCGCTAGAAGTTGGAGGCCATCGCCCAAGTTTGGAGGCTATCGCTAGTAGGTTAGACGCACAAACTGAAAGCGATGCAAAGCAACAAGGTTAGAGGTCATCGCTAATGGGTTGGAGGCCATAGTACCAAGTTGTATGCCAGCGCAACAGTTTACAGCAAGCTCTGCAGACTGAATAGGAATGCATCCAGTCGAACAGAGCGGACGCGCCGGCCTTAAGGGCAACGGGCATATAAGCTACTAGAAGGACACCAAAAATAGGGAGAGTCCATAGCAACAAGGTTGGAGGCCTGCGCTACAGGTTAGGAGGCCCACAAGACACAAAGCTGCAACACAAAAAGAAACCAAACAAACAAAAACAAAACCAAAAATCCGGATTGTGACTCCAAGGGTTGCCCTGCAACATCGTGGTACACTTCAAGATTTGTGCGTGTCATTCCTTCAACAAAATCCAAAAGGATCCCTTTGACTCCAAGGGATGCACACACACGCACCCAACACTGCCCCCTGTGCCACGGGCACGACAGGAGCAGATGCCAAGGTGGTTGCCAGCATGTTCCGACGTCACGGCGACAAAGGCCCAAATAATGAGGCCGAGACCCGAGACACCAAAAGCATTGGGGTGGAACAATGATAGTTGCCACTCCTTGTTGCTGAGCCCATGGGGCCAGGTGTGCTTGTATTTGTTCCAATTTTCAAGTCATTCTGACCCAGGTTGGCTGCTTGGTTTGGAGTCGCAAGCGAAGGCGCTAAACCAGACTCAAGAGGTGGATGTGTTTGGTGAATGCTGCCAGACTCAACCTGAATGACTTTGTTCTCCTCCTTTGGGTTGTTTGGCTTGCTTAAAAGGCATATGACATATGTATATACATATTGGTATACAGTGTATATATAAGATATATAATATATATAATATATGTAATATATATAATATATATAATATATACTATATATAATATATATAATATATACTATATATAATATATATATAATATATATATAAGATATATAATATATATATAGATATTTTTTTTTTTTTAAACGTTTTTTTTTTTTTTTTTTTTCGGAAGCGTCCGTTCGGACTCGATGATTTTGTTTGTTGTGGCCGCTTTTGCCGAGGTTGGGACAGATCGGAGGGCATTGGCCGAAATCGTAGCGAGGGATGCAGTGACCTTCTGTGCCTTTTGCATTGAAGTCTCACCTTGCCTTTGCTGTACTTTCGACAATGCCTTTTGCCAACACGAAGACGTATTTGATGAATTTGTGTCAAGGCCTATAGAGTATTGAGTCCTGAAAGAAGCTCAAGTTGTCAACATTTTTCGGCAGTCCGTGCCTGTACAGCAAGGGACAGCATATGACAGCGTATATTTTTACAATAAAGACAATTCCGTAGTGATGACTATCGTAGCCGTTCGGGCAGAACTTGATGCGAGAAGAGCCACAAAGCAAAAGACCGCGGGTGTGTCACAGAGCTTACCAGTTCAAAAAGTGTTGTTTTGAGCACTCGACTCTTCATCAGCTCAACAGTACCTTTCCGCGCAGCCTAGGCCGCTTGGTGCGAGCTTTGCAGCAGCCCAAGGCAGTACTCTTGGAAGGCAGAGACTGATGGGTTTACCATTGCTGCATGGTCTTGACAGCAAACGCACATGGGATTTCTTGTGTCAGAAGTCTTTCCAAATGCCTGATTTTGGTGGGCTATGGTGTTGTGCAGGAACTTTTTGAGTGCTTTCTATTTGGGTTTGAGAAGGGAAGGGTAGCTTCCTGCATGGAAACGTGCGTGACTATGCAGAATCTTGGGCATTTGGCGGCCGTCGATCTGGGACACCCGATCTCCAGGTCCACCTGGCCTTGGGAAGACAGCAACGGTGCAAGCTCTGGCCAAAGCGACTGGAAGACGTTTGTGCTGACCTCATCCTTTGTTTGGAGAAGATCTATTTTGATTGTAAGAAGTCATAATTTCAGGCAGTTTGCAGTTTTGTAATCTTTGATGTACTCATTTTGTCGTTTCAACTGTTCTTTGAACCCAGGCTACGTGTGAATCTCTCGGAGCAAACCGATTTGTCACAGCCTCTGTCGGGTCTTTCAACTCGAGAGATTTGATCAAGTAGCTCGACGGTTGACGAACTCACTTCTGCGTCCACACCCTCTGGCGAAAGGGAAAAACATGAGTCGACAGCTCGGGGGAACTGTCACCCCCCAAGATGCCTCTGCCGGTATATTTTTGCATCAGCAAACGAGCCGAACATGGCCAGTCTTATTTCCTCAGATGTGATGTAAATAAGCAGGCGCTGTAGGCGCACACTGCCCTTTCTACTTTGAAACTCTCTCAGTCTCCTTTGCTCACAAATCTTTGCCACAAAACGACACACCCGTGATCTCTCCCTCTTGCTTCAACTGCTGACAGGCTGGACCTATTAGGTTCCGACTTGCCCACGCCTGGCAGCGAGGCTTGCCATGTGAAAGCATGCTCAACAAGGAACACCTGAGTTTCTTTTCGTCCCGAAGGAAGATCATTGCACCACTTGGAACTGGAACCATCCAAAACACCGGTGGTGCAGGATATCTTCCTTCAAACCGTCTTCTTCCTTCAATGCATCAAAGCATCGGATGAGGCCGCTCGATTTCGCTGGTGCGATGGAGCTTTGCTGCGAGCCATGCGACAGGGCGCGCGGTGACCCAGTTGCTGAGCAATTGACAAGGTGTTTCTATGGGATTTCTTTCGTGGATTGGTTGAGCCGGAGTTGGAAGTTCCATGTCGCCGGGCTCCCACAGCTGCTGCGCTAAGGACTGGGTTCTTTTGGATGAGATTAATTTGGCTCCGCAGGACTGGTGTCTTCCCAAACAAGTTGGCACACTCAGTTCCCATCCAAGTCGAGACACAGGCCACTCTGGAGGGCTTGAATGCGTTGCTGGACCATCGGCGAGAGGCCATGGAGTGTTGTTGATGTCAATTGAATCTTTCCCTTACAATCATGATGACCATCTCACAGCCACACACTGGTGTGTGTAGACTTATTTTTTTGCATTGTTTTATCATTTGCGTTTTTATATTGCTCTGATGTTATCATATTGATAATCATTTTTTTTTCAATCACTGTTTATAAGTTTATATACATGTTTCTTTTTTAAACAAAACTTTCATACCACCATACTGCTTTAGTGACTCTGGTGCGATTACCACGGGAAAATTACATTAGGCTACAAAAAGACAGAACTGGTGGTTTTCCATTGGAGGACTCACTCATACCAGTTGCTGTGTGCATGCCTTGCATTTCCTTTTGTCAGGTGTTCCTTCCAGCTATTGGACAGACAGTTGCGGCGCATGAAGGCTTCAGGCTGGAAGACGTTGTGTTTGCTGAGGGCTTTCCTCCTAGGGCTTTCCTCGTGTGCAGGCTTTTTGCAGCACAGAATCCTGTTGCCACTGGAGGCCATGACTTGCGTCTGTAGATGACGGCGCTTCCGACGGCACGGCTCGGACGGCTCGGCTCGTTGGGCCAGGTGGCCGCAAGGGGCTTCCCAGGTCGTTTCTCAATCGCTTCACTCGGGTGGTGCTATCTCAATTGCCGTGCTCCCAGAGGGTCTTGGTCAGGTGATCTATTTGTGCATACCAACTGTGGTTCTTGGAGAATCTGCGAATCCCTGAGAGTAGGGCCTGTGATCCCTTTATCTTTTCCAACCCTGACCGTACTGATGAAGACTTCACAAGAAATGTTACGCAGCCACAGGTCACCTGCAGACTTGCGGCACATCTGCCCGTGCCTTAGAACAAGACTGGGCAGGAGGCCCAGTCCGCAACGAGGAGCGCCGCGTCATGAGGAACTGCCTTCCGCTCTGAGGCCGACATGTTCATGCTGCAGCACTGGGAGAAGAAGTGGTTGATCGGGCAGCGCCTGCTGCATGTTTGAGTGAGTTGAGTTGAGTTGTTCTCTATCGTGGTTTGGTGGCTGCAAGAGATTGAGTGGATGCCAGGTGGCTTTGTTGGAAGAGCTGCAAAAAGTCTCCCATGGACATGGTGACACAGGTGGGGGCGAAGTTGTAGCACTCAGCCGCGGTCTCCAATGCCTTGGGAGGCCCATTCCAAGCTCACTTGGAGTTTGTAGGGGTCTTAGTTAGAAATCACTTTGTTTTTTTCCCATGCTTGGGCAGTTTCCCAGCTTTGAGGACTGGAACCTTCGAGATGCCTTGCGGCTGTGCGAGCTCCTTCGCGTAGAGCTCTCAGAACGGCTGCGGAGGTCTTGACAGATCATGGGATGCAGGGCTGTGACTTGTGACGCTGATGATCTATTTTTCGTTTGGCAACCCATTTAATGATTAGAGCAAACTATCACCACAGCTCATCTCTCCTTTGTCAACAAGTCCACCATCTGACTTGCAGTTCCCTCATGTACCACAGAAGGGGTAAACACGTCGTCATGAACCTTTCCTGTAGCCAGAGTATTTGGATGTATTTGGGGCGTTTTTTAGGTTGGAGGCCATCGCTACTAGGTTGGAGGCCATCACCATTATATAGGTTGAGTTTACCGTTTTTTTTCCATGTAAAGCACTGGCCCTTTCAATTCCATTGTTTGCGTTTGGCTCGGGACCTCCGCAGCTCAGGCGAAGGTCCCATTGGCGGACTTTCACGCATCGGCGGAACTGCTCTTTGTGGGGTTTCCCGGGTGTGAGTCGAATGTGGGTGGAGTGGGTCAAAACCTGCAGAGGTTTGCTGGGTGTGATGGAACTCCCTTTAAGCTTGCTTTCAACGCCAGGCGATTTTTACTCATCAATCAAATACCGATCCTCCTTGGATGTTCCCCAGTTTTTGGTCAGCTGTGTGCAGATTTCAGCTCAGACATATTGAGGTGTCTCGACTACAATGTGAGCGCGACCGAGCAGTTGCAGTAGAGGTCATTAAGAGGACTTTGCAACCGTGTTTGTATGTCTTGACACGTTCCAAAGAGACGCAAAGAACATGTCCTATGAATCAGTCTACGGCTTTCTGCGTACTTTCATGTTACCTTGTGTGAGTTTGGATGCAGACTTACTGGCTTGGCAGGATCTTGCCCCTGCCACAGTGTGCTGAGGCTAGAGCGGCACTGGAGATCATTCTCGTCTTCACGTGACAGCATGGCAAATAGACATGCAAACCTGGAACGGTTTAGGTAGCTGGCTGAGCCGGATTTCCAGAGTCTCATCTATCTCTCCCTGGAGCGTTTCGCATCCAATGCGGTCTACTGAGTCTCCCCTTCCCACGTGCTCCGCCAGTCCATGGATGTGAAGCGGGCAGCGGCCCTGCTGAGAGTCAGCTGCGGACTTCAGGCCGAGCTGCGGCGTCGTTGGGCGCCGTTGGGCCGCGAGCCGTGGTCCGCGTTTGGCGTGAAACCTGAGATCTCCAGAGTTGTCGACCTGATTTGGATGTCACGTGATGTCACCGAAACATAGAGCTTTGGCTCTTGCCTTTCTCTACTGAACTCTGCTCAGGCATCGTCTCCAGTAGCAGCTTCCAAAGAGGATTGTACGTCTCTGAGAGAAATGGTGCTTTGCTGTGCCGATGCAGGGTGAGTTTTGCGAGCTCTGAGGTGGTCTCCCAAGACCAATGCTGTGTTTGAAGCTCAGTTTGTAGTGCAAACTGAACATGTTGAGTCAGTTTCCAGTCTGAGACGATTTGGTGGAGAGCTCCAAATGAGGTTTGGGTGCCCACAGCTTGCAAGCGCGGCTGAATGGCATTCAGGTGTCGACAACTTGCTGGAGTAGGAGCTGAGTAGGACGTGCACGAAAGTAGGATCTCGTGATCTGGAAGCTTCAGGTGTGGGACCCCCTCTATTGGATAGTGGAACCAGAAGTTTGGAATTCCAGCTTCAGGCTGAAACTCGAACTTTTTGAGCCATATAGCCATGATGAACCAAACTGTTGGAGCAAATGTTGGGATGGAAACATCCACTTGGGTGCGTAGGTGAACCAGGGAGACCCAGTGTTGGCAAACACAGCATTCGACTCAAACTGAAAGCCAGCGGGCGAGGGGGTAGCGTTTGTGCATGGTCTCATGGCTGGTTTGCCAGGTGGGTGCTGCCTTGCTGCAGCAGCTTCAACCAGGCGACCCACGCAGCGGGGAGGCTGAGGAAATTGGGCGGAAACCGAGAAGGATGGAAACCAGATCAGATGCTGCAGATGTGAGGGACAATGCATGCAAACGTGTAGAATCTTTACGCAAGCCAGCCGGTAGGCTAGCTGTTGTGTCTGGTGCGAATTAAGTAAGCACTAGCGCTGAGGGAGGGGAAACAGCCTAAAGCTTCGATTTTTAGGGCACTTCCTTGGGTTCGGTGATTGATGATGTTGAACATGCCATTTTGGAAGAGCTTGTGATGCTGAAGATATTGGGTGGCATAGTAAGCATCATAAAGGTGGAGGGTTGGTCGCATTGTTAAGGTCAGTGGGGAGGTTCCGTGAGGATGGTTGCTTGGCTCTGTGGCAGAGGTAGGTTGCAGGTGCGATCTACTTCTTTAAGCAAAAGGCGTTTGCTCAACAGGCCTACAGAACACGTGGATTCTGACCATTCATAATATCTTCTCGTCGATCCCAGCAAATTCAAATCAATCCTTAGTTGTGTTTTAAAGCATTTGCTATTGGTATTCAAACCAATCTAGACACTTGCAAGGAAACATGCCTCTCAGAAGAACATTGTTCCACTGCATGTGTTTCAATGCTTTGAATGCAACGTGCAGCCAAGAACGACACTGTCACGGAATTCCGAGACAAAGTAAGTCTCGGAGAGCGATGTTTTGCCGATGTGTCAACCCGGTTTGGCAAGCTGATGATTTTCGAGAGCCAGTGCACCTCGCACTTTTCTGCTACAGGCGAATCGTCCACCAACCTGAATCTAATGCTTCGGACATGCTCTGGATCATCCGGATTCTTTCACACGCACACTCGTTGTCAGCTTTTTCCGATGTTTTGGATTGCAACAGGAACAGGCTGCAGACAGGCTCCCCTGGCATTCATTCCTCCCTTTTCAGGTGTAGTAATTAGGTGTGTTTCTACTTTGAAACATGTGCATTCACCTGTTTGAAGCGTGTGCTATGTGGCAACTTAGAGTGCATTCCCTAGGTTGGAGCGGCCTTGAGCACATTCGACACTCTCCTCACTTAGCTGCGCTCGCTAGCAAGGAGCCTAGTCACTAGGAGAGAACCGCAGGCAATCAAAACCACAGAGGACCGGAGAAACCAAATTGAGGCCAGGCCTCTGTGGTGCACGCGATGTCCCACGCAGTTTCAGAGAACTTGAAATGGCAGGGTGCCCAACGTTGCAAAGTTTATGCAATTTATGCACATGAATCTCAAGGAGCAAATTACAAGACGGCTTCAATCGCTATTAGTAACAAGGGCATCGCAACTAGTAGCTAGAAGCTACTAGTAGCGATGAATACCCTTTTACTAGTAGCTTCTAGCTACTAGTAGCCATTCCGGCCATTGGGCCAACAAAGCGCCTTTGGCTCAAACAGGCACACGACATACTATTGCCAGCGTGCAAAGCAACTTGCACTAGGGTCGCTGGCAGCATTGAACTTTCGGCCATCCCATCGAGCGAAGTGCTCAGCTTCAACTAGACTTTAAGTTACTTTAAGAAAAAGACTTCAAAGGCACCTAAGGGCGATGGCCTGCAACCAAATAGTGATGGCCTCCAACAATCAATTTGAGCATCCATGCAAATTGGTGTTGATCGGTTAATTGCAATGAGCGATGATGATTGCGATGGAAGCAAACGGGCAAAACGGCCTCGCACGCAGGTGCCGCGGGAGAGACATGAAACCAAGTTAACGTGTGTGTCATTTCAACGAAGGAACTGCCCTTTGCTCTTCACGAGGCCTGTGATACTTGGGGCAACATTGGAGCGTTACTGGAAGGCTTCTGCTTGCATTTAGATATACATAAATATGTATATATATATATGTTATCGGTGCTATATGTGATTTTCTGACTTCAGAATATTGGGAGCCTGGGGATCGTGAGATCTCTACTGGTTACATCGGCATTCAACTAAAGTTGGTAGTGTTGCCTGGAAAAGAAGGATAGGGCTCCTGTATTTGCCAAAGGGCAACAAGAATTCTCGCTTGTGTGGAGGCCCCCAGCCATTTCCATTACCAAAGTGATTTGAGCTGCCGAGGAACATCAGTGGTAAAACTTTTTTGCCGGGAGTTAAAGCCGTCTCTTGGTGATAATTTGTATGTTCATTCCTTTGACACAGTTTCCTCAATCATTGTTCCTTCTTCAAGAGATCTTCGGAGCATATGCTCAAGCACTCAGGAATTATTCGATGCCATGGACAACAAAGAGGCAGGGGCAAAAAACGACGAGTCCAGGTTCCCACACGGGAAACCTCCAGACCTTTCGTCCTATCGAAGCTTCGCTGAAGAGTATTCCGTAACTCCCACCCAAAGGACACCCCTCACTTGTGGGTTTTCGTTTCTGATTCTTTTTGCTTTGATTCCATCCTCTAATTCAATGGTCCACTGGCCCTTCCACTCATCTACACTCGTCCACGCTTATCTGTGCTCCTGCCTGCTGCGCTCCGCTCCGCTCGTCCAGAGGCAGCAGTCCTCAACTTCCAGTGCCTTTGTGCTCAGCCTGGAGGAGCGCTTGCTTCTCACGAATCGTCACTGCGTGGCCCATGCCAGCTGCATCGACACCCATTCTTGAAGCGAAAAGATGTGGGCGAGTCCACAGCAACACCATCAGTTGATGTGGGTGGATCAACAGATGGAATAAAAGAAACACTATATAGTACTCGTACCCCTCCAGACTATCGAAGAACCTGAAGCACTGGTGTTGCCGAGAACAATTGTCCAGACTTATATGTTTTGAGGTGTTTATTTTTGAGGTTGTTTTATGTTAGTCTTTTTCCTGGCAGAGCTCCTGGCTTAGGAAGTTCGAAAGCGTGGAGATGATGAAAAGTTTGAGGCAGAGGTTTTGGCCCGTGCCACGGACTGTGACTTGGCCATTCTTACCGTGCGGGAGGAATCTTTCTGGAAAGGCACCTTGAGTGCTCAAGAGCTTTGCAGAGATGTCCCTGCTCTCTTCTCAGAAGTGGTTTGTGTTGGATATCCCACTGGCGGCGACAACCTCTGCGTGACCAAGGGCGTTGTGAGCCGAGTTGATTATGAGGATCACCCGGATCCCTGGATGAATCGACTGGTGATTCAAATCGATGCTGCCATCAATCCAGGCAACTCCGGAGGACCGGCGTTGGTGGCCGGCGGACGGTGTGTGGGTGTGGCATATGAGTCTTTGAAAGATGGCTCCACGGAGAACATCGGGTTTATTATTCCCGTGAGTGTCGTAGAAAAGTTTCTGACCGCTTGGCGGCGATTGGCCAATGAGGGTAGCGCAGCACCTCACGCTGAGCGAAGCACCATGAGAGTCACAGCATTTGGACATGGACGTTTCTTTGCTCAGCGACTGGAAAATGCTGGAATGCGCCGGGCTTTGGGCTTGTCCAAGGGCCAAAGTGGTGTTATTATCAAATCAGTGGATCCGACGACGCCTAATGCTCAGGCTCTGCGGCGAGGAGATGTTCTGATGTCACTGGTCGGGGTTTCGATTGGAAACGATGGCTGCGTACCGTTTGTGTGCGGCTCCTCAAGGCATGACCGAGTGCCATTTCCATATGTGGCAATCAATAAGTTTGTCGGTGAGTCTTTGGATGCTGAAATCATGCGGGATGGTGTTCAGATCTCTTGCGCCTTTGAGTTACTTCCTCAAGAACCTTTGGTTTCAGTCGAGAAGGAGGCTCCATGGCTTCTTGACTACTGTATTATTGGTGGCTTGGTTTTTGTCGTCCTCTCCCAGCAGTATTTGCGCGCCACCTTTGGAGACAAGTGGAGAAAAGAACGCTGCAATGGTTTGGCTGAAATCATGGACTCCAGAGAGAGGGACTTTGAAGATGAACAAGTTGTGGTGTTGTCCTACGTGCTGGCGCACACCGTGAACTTGGGCTTCCAGGATGTTCGGAATGCCCGGCTCAAGGCCTTTGTGATGGACGGCCAGCCCGTGCGTGTGCGGAATCTGTGGCACTTGTCGGAGCTCTTGGACTCCTGCCAAGATGAATACCTCAGGTTTGAGCTTTTTGGCCGAGGCTCGAAGGGCAATCTTTGAGAAACCTGGATTCTAGATTGAAAACAACTTTTGAAGCAACCTGGGAGCACATCATGGTATCAAAAGGTCTTTTTGTCTTGCCTGTGAGGTTCTGGGTTTCTTCCAGAGATCATCGTCCTGGAGCGTGCTGCTGTCCAGGCGGCAGAGAAAGACATTTTGTCTCGGAACAAGATCCCCACGTCGAAGCGGCTTTCCAAAAAGGGAAGCCCGATGACCTGATCAGTGATCCTGCATTGATTATGCCGATTTCCGGCGCAAAAAAGGACGGAAGTGACAGAGACACTGTTTCATCCTCTTCATTTGTACTGTCATGCTTGGACCTACATGTTTGCTTGCTAGCCCTCCAACCACCCTTCTGACAGAAATCAGTGCAAGCTGTGTCTGATTGAGGCCTGTCCTTTTGGTCGGCGGACCAGCATCTGGCAAGCACAGTGTGGTGCGATGGTTGGCAGCGGCTCAATTGCACCGTCAGAGTGGATGTGATCAGATGTGGAAAGCCGTGGGCTTTTCTTGGGTCATTTTTCTCAGTTGCCTTTCTTGGGCTAGAGTTTTGATGAATTTATTTCGCTCGCCTTAAGAATTGCTGTGCTGATGTTAAAGCAAGTGCTGGGTGTGAGGCAATGGCACATATGCCGCTCCAAGAGGCCAGGTGTATTTCTAATCACTCCGTTTTTATTCAACTCAGATGGCAAGCCAGCCCGCTTCCTTAGTTCGCCGTCTCAGTGGGTGCACGTGGAGTGTTTGACTTCTTTCTTGGGAGGTGCCACTGACCCCTGCAATGGATGCAAGTGAGCTTTTGGGCTGCTTCGAGCAGGCAGTTTCAAGCTTCAATGCAGAAAACGTGAAGCAGATTTGAAGCAAAACGGCCAAAAGGACAATGAACAGGTGTCGCTCCAGGTGGAGATATCGAATCTTTTTCCGAAGAAATCATTGAATCTTCATTTCTCCAAGTCGCGAATGTCCAGGTCGATTCTCGAAGTCTCTTGGGGCATTGGGTGCGTCATGCCCGAGCATTGGCCTATGGTCTCCAGCAAGTCTGTGAGGACTGCGACTTTCGGCTGTCAAGCTGATTGTCCTTTTAAAGGATTTCGATTTCATATGATTTACACTATTGACACGGCTTGTTTTTAGTTTTTTTTTTCTGCTTTGTTTTTCCGATACACGTGTAGGACAACGCTGCTCGCAAGGTCTTGGATGAGTGCTCCAGGCAGTCTGCAATTTTATGTGTTGCCAAGTTTTCTGATGTCCGATTCTTGTTTCTTGACAGGCTGAGTTCGGCCTTGGAGTCACACCTGGAATCCACAGTAGCATGCTTGGTCTGACATCCTCTTTGTTTGTTAGAACGACATCCTTTGACATAGAGAGTTGGTTTTGTTGTCTTTTGCTTTGTTTCTTTTTATTGTGGACTTTTGGCAGTCTTAAAATGGAAGATGCTGTTTGGCAGGTTGAGGTTTCGCAGCTTTTGACACAGGCGTTGGCACTGCAAGCACTCAAACTGTGCTGCTTCTTCAATGGTGTTTTTCAACAGAGTGATTCTGTTTTGATCCAACATTTGTTGCTTTTGGTTCTGAAGGCAGATGCATTGCTGAAGAAGTGGCGCACCTAGAATGTCTGATTGAGACTGGACATACGGACTCTTGAAACCAATGGGATTATCCAGTTAGAGTATCCAGATGATCTCTACTTCTTCTGAAGTCTCCAAAGTGAAGCAGGACATGACTTTCCTACGAATACGTCACACCTGATATTGTGCCAATAGGTTTATATAATGGTTCTGTCAGTTGCGAAATAGACATTTGAAGCAGGCTAGGACCTCTAGGAACTATATATGTATACATACATATATATATATATATGTAGTTTTTTGTTTGTATGTACAGCCCATATATACTCCGCTAGGGTACTGCAGACACGTGACTCTTGACGTGTTTTGGCTCAAGGGAGAAAAGGCGTTCCGAAACGTCGAAACTCTGTTTTCA